TGTGCCTTCAAGTCGTTTCCCATAGGAAGATGTTAATTGAATATAACAATACCGAATATCTTCAGAACGGCTCCAAATGACACAAAACTCATATGGGTGAGTAGAACATGATGTAATAACGTAAAATCAAGGGCCCACTGTAAAACAAATGGTATTCCCCTTTAAATATAATGACAAAAACTTAATGGCATTGGCTTTTTAAAGGCCACATGCACTACCCTTGAAAAACAAAAAAAGTTCTGACATCTAACAAACACCACACAGATAAATAAAGCAATGTTTCAATCAAAATCAACTTCATATTATATGCCAATTATAAAGCCAGCTTTTCTTTGCATGACAGTCCAAAATCTTTTTTCTTAATCTACACAGATCGAAGTAATAATTAGAATTTTTGTTTTACAAGTTCGGATCTTCAGGTGGGGCTTGTTGGCTCATGGTTTGGTGCAGCCTTTTAGGCTGCTAAAGTAAAAGCTCCAACTAAGTATGGTTAGGTCAGTGGAGACTGTCCTGTGTTAATGTTACAATATAACCTGTTTTTAAGCCATATTTTCCAGAAAGGCCCTAAGTGGAATCTGTACTAATGATCTAAAGAGAAATGTCCATCCAAGTATCTTATCCCTCCATCAGCAGCACCATAATGACTACATGATGAATTGTAAACACTGATTTTTTTTCTATTATGAGATCCAAACAGCTGTAAAGGTAAAGATGACCTGGCCATCAGAGAGTTGTAAACACAGAAAACACCGGTTTGACCGCAGTGGTAGATCACATGGGTTCCTATGATTGGCCAGTGTCATAAAGGTCATTGCAATTTGGGCATTAAATCAGGTAATCCAAGGAAGCTTGACGAGACTGAGTATCATTTAAGCAGAGGGTCGTAAATTGCCCGAGGTTGTAACTCTGCTTTAAATGGCGGGAAGTGGTGATCATGGAGATAACCGGAAACATAAAAAGTATGCATGCACGCGTTTACGTGTCACTGGGATGGGCTAAGGGAAAGTTAGGGGTGTGGGTTAGGAGGGGTGGAGAGAATGGATGGTATATATTGAACAAGGATGCATGCAGAAGATCATTAAATGTGTTGCAAGCTGCAGAAGAGTCACCAAGAACAAGGAAGAGAAGAGGATAGAAGGATATCTTGAAGGGGTTTGAAAGAAGAACTGAAGACAACCAATAGAAAGCAATCATCCAGGATGCGCCTGCTGGTGGTTTTATCTCTGCTCCTCTGCATATTGGTGTGCACGCACCAGGCAGGAGCAGAAATGCAGGGAGTGAGGCTGTGTGGTCGGGCATTTCAGAAGGCTGTGGTCTACACCTGTGGAGGCTCCCGTTGGAGGAGATTCTTCAGTGAGCCAGATATTGGTGGTGAGAACATCAGCTTATTCTGCTAACCTGAGATTTTATGTTTTCAGCACAGAATTGTTAACTATCAGAAACTAAAATGATAAAAATGAAAGCCTTCCAAAAGAGCTTTTTTATAGATAAACAATATTTGATTCGGAATTTCAACATATAGTTGGAAATAATTAGAATTTTCTTCTAATTATATGAAGGAAAATCCAGATGAGGAAGTTGTTAAAATATTAATTTTATGTTTAAATCCAAAAATCTTTGAACCTTTTTGGCTTGATGTTATGGTATTAACTGGGCTGTGGGTGTGCTGGGAGACAGGTGTCTCCCCACAATGGCATGTTTTGCATTATTATGCCAGAAAAGGCCATATGTCAAACGTGGAGGCGGCTTTTCCCTGGACAGTCCTTCTCTTACTGTCCTGTCAGACAAATCCACTTAGCATATCCATCAGAGTAATTACTAGAGGGAAACTGACACTGTAGAAGATAGATAGCAGTCATTTAAGGGTTAATTTCATGGGATGTATGAATATAAATTATACAGAACACATATAAGACAGTTCTTTAATATTTACACCCTCAGAAACATTTAAATAGACATAACATGTTTTTCAGATGGCAAATCAAAATACTGTTTGTTCCATATATCTGTTCTGTTGCTCCAGGTCTGCCCTCAGGAGAGCAGAACAGCTTGGAAAACCTTAACATCCCCGGATCTGACTTGACCAAACGGGATATGAACACTTACCTGAGAGTCATCTGCTGTCAGGTGGGCTGCGGGAAGAACGAACTCACCTACATGTGCTGATGACCGCTGGGCTTTACGTTTTTACTCTCAGAGTGACCAAAATGACTACCTTGTGCCCCATATTGGCTTTATACCTACATTTCACTCTGACGTCTCTCTTAACGATCACTGTACAACTGAGATTTGTAAATGTGGAGCATCTTTGAATGTTTATGTATAAATCTGAGCTGAATGTTTACCAATAAACCCATGATTGTTTTGGACACAACTTGTATAAAAGCTTGTCGGGCTGCATTAATTTTATATAAATTTCTCTTTTAAGAGATGAAGTATCTAAGGCTTATGGTGTTTCGTAAATGTGTGCAGAATTAAATAATAGAGATGAAAATACGTATAGCTTCCAATTCTTCTTGTTTTACATTGTTTTATGCAATAAATGTTCTTGCAAATTCCTTAGGTGTGGTTCTTCAGTTATTAAGTTCATCTGTGAAAGGAAATTACAGTATTATTAATGAGAAAGTTATTTTGCTAACCACATTATTAAAACTTTAAGTGAGTTAAGATGCTGAATGAGAAATCGTGATAAATATTAAAGTCTGGTGTTCTTCAGGGATGTCCGTCCTTATGTGTCAGCCTATTAAACAACCAACAATATCTGCTCCAACATCTGCAGACAGAAAAGTTCAATGTTAATCTTTCCACAATGAAACAGTGCAGTGGTCAGGTTATCGCTGGGTATTACTTATATATGGATAGCTTCAATTGCACAGAAGTGTTAAAAGTTTATTACTTAAATAGAATTATAGATAGTACTGTTTAAATGACTTTAATGCATCCATACCACCACCCCAAAAGGAAAACATTTCTGTGGGCCATAATGACTGCTGTGTTATATAATAAGATTTTAATGTTGAGAAAATTTAGCATGCACAAGGCTACCTGTTTCACCCACATATGTCCATTAAAAAGAATACTACATGTTATTAAAATGCAAATATTGTAGGAGTTGTAATCTAACCTCGTAGAAGTGGCTCTGTAAGAAGCATATCAAGGTTCTGGAGTGGCATAGCCAGTCTCCAGACTTAAACCACATAGAGAAACTTTGGAGGGAGCTTAAACTCTGCGTTTCTGCTTTTTAAGCACAAACTTAAAGCTACAGTGTGTAATTTTCAGCGACATCTAACGTCCAGGCTGCAGACCGCAGCAACATTAACATCTCCCCCCCACCGCTTCTCCCCCCTGTAGCTTTAAACAAGATATTGACACCATACAATTCTCAGAAAATAAGAAAGCAATCAAAACTCGAGAAGCCTTTGTCCTTTTTAATATTATTTAGAGCGCTGTTTCCCCCTAGCGTTAACTTTTGTTGAGTAAATGTAAGATCTTAGTTTATTTTTTCTTGTCTTTTTTCCTTATCGTTTCTTGTTTTGCACAAAACGAAGTCATTTACTTGACTGGTAAAAATGTGAATTTACACTGAAAATGTCTGTAAATAATGGTTGTTGTGAATTCCTATAGTGCAATATGGTTGCTCTGTATTGTTCTTTGCAGAAACAAATAAAGTTCTATAAAAAAACAAACAAACAAACAAAAAAATTTTTTTCTCAGCGACAGAAATGACTGATCTACAGTAGAGAAGATCTGTGTGGAGTGTTGGTAAAAATCCCTCCTGCACCGTGTGCAAACCTGGTGAAAAACTGCAGGAAACATTTGACCTCTGTTATTGCAAACAAAGGCTACTGTACACAAAATTAACACTGATTTTTTTCAGGTATTACAATACTTATTTGCAGCTGTATCATATAAATAAATAGTTAAAAAATCATACATTGTGATTTCTGGATTTTTTTATTTTTGATTACGTATCTCACAGTGGATCTGCACCTATGGGTGAACCTGCAAAATAACAGTGTTCAAATACATTTTCACTTAATAAAAGGAAGCGTGGTTAATGGTTTCAGCCCATTGATTTTAAGAGACTTTTTAAAAAGATCCTACTAAAAACATGTCAAGATCCAGTTGGTATCAACTGGATCAAATATGAATTTTTAGAGTGACATTACTTGTAAAACTTGTTTTTATGTAAATTCCAATAGGATACTCTTGGTGCCAAATTAGTAAATTAACAAGCAAAATAATCAAAAGGACAAAGTCAATCATCCAGTTATACTTTTTATTGGTTTTTGGAAAGAAGCAAACTATTTTTTCTCAGTTTATCTTAGCATTGTTATGTTCTGTACAAACAGCTTGCACATGAGGTTAACTGCACAGAACCAAAAAAAAGCATCCTGACTTCTTGCACACAAAAAGCCAATCCCTGCTCATTCCTCAACAAAGGTCAAGTGACACTCAGAAGAACATACCACTTCAGTACTACCTATCGCCGATGATGCCTCGTTTTCTTTTTTTACTGCATGCAATAAATCAACATTTAGAGAAAAATCCATCACAGATGAAGAGCTGGACACAGCCCTATTTTAATTTCATTTTTCGAATTTAAAATGATGTAAACATTGCAACCAATTTTTTTTTTTTTTCCTTTTGGTCAGGCCTCAAGCTGAAACTGTTGAGTAATCGTAATTTGTGTTTATTCTACATGGCTAGTTTTGGATTTCGTTGGCATTGATAGGTAATGCTGTAGTGACTGTTGTACTCAAAATCTCACAATCCATACAAAAGAAAACAGAGTCAGATTTTTTACATGGTTTTCATTCACCATGAAAACATTTATCAAATGAAGGTTTCACAGGGAGCTAAATGGCACCAATCATTCATTCTACTTCAAAATTAAACTTCAGCGTTCTCTCATATTGGGTCAGGACACAAGGAAATAAAATAAAAAAAAATACAAAAAAACCCCAAATGTTTTAATAAAATGTGCAGTCCAGGTTTGATATCAATAAATGATGTCCATTGAGAAGCACTGCAGAACTCAAAGTATGAGATTTACAGATTTATTCCCCCTCCACACTCTGATTGGTTACATTTAGCAGAATGCAGACAAATGGTGCACTACAAACATTTTCAGGTACACTTCATACACAGACTTTGTTCTTCATGTTTTAGAGCATTCAGCAAGTTGAACATCATCAGCACAGTGTTGTTGTTCTCACAACTAAACAGTAATATATTTTTCTGCATTTTAAAAATATTCATCTTATTGTCCTCAACATGGGACTGACTGTCCGGGGTTCACACAAACAACACACTCTCTCACACAAACAAATACAAAACGAAACAAAAATATAATTTTGGTCAACTTAACCTTGTTTTACACCGTCATTCAAATCAAGTCATCTCACAGAGACCATTACGTTTATGAAAATTAAAGCCATGGATTCGAGCGCTGGCATGATGAATTGGGGGAGCTGCATACAACGTATTCTAGGAGTTAGATAGCATTGATGTGATTGGAAATAGCAAAACTGATAAACCAAAGCTGAACACTAACGGAAACTATTTAATCTACTGGATTAGCGCTTTGTTTTCTACTTGGAGGGAACAAGAATCAGGCTGGACCCAGTAAACTTATTTAAATTTTAAGAAATAAAATTTCAAGCGGCGATGCTGCGGCTGAGGAAAAAAATTGTGTTATTTCTGTTGTTGTACATGTTAAAAAAAAAAAAAAAAAAAAAACTTCTTGACATTTTCTAAAATAGTGATTTAATTTCCTGTGAATTTAACTAATCCTGAATTTTACTGGCCTTGGAAGTTCGATGTTAAGAGCCTTAAACTGAAACTGAAAGCAAAGATTTATTCTTTAAATGATCTAACTCACGGCAATATTAAATTTAAACAGGTTAGTTTAGGGATATCTGACTTTTCTACTTGGGAACTCCAACTTCTGTTGTCGAAGATCCATTTTGCAAGGAAAATTGAAAATTTTTAGATATCTTTTAACCTCAGAATAAAGTTTGTAATCAGAAGGAAATAGCAAACGTAGGTATGTTAAAAAGTAAACAGTTTTCTGAGACTGAAATAGACAATGTCAATGGCTAATACTAATGAATGCTAACAAAAATGTTTTCTAATATTGATGCTATCATGTATGTTAGTAAAAGGTTCACAACATTTTAGCATTTGAGTAATTAAAGATGTGTAAAACCATAGTTAAAGGGAATCTTGCAATTTTGAACAACTATTTGGTAACCCAGAGGGGTTAATTGATTTATGATTAAAGACATGAAAGCAGTGGTAAAAATGTCATCAGATGAAACCATTGGTGCTGGTAGGGAGTGGTTGATTGGAATTTAATGGAATACAAAAGCATCCAAACAAGCCTGCTTAGTCTGTATGTAATCCACATAGAGAAGGTTTAAGGTGCACATTAGATTTTTTTCTCTCAATAAAATAGCTTAATATCAATACTTTGCAGTCAATAAAACAAAATGTGTGACACTATAGGTGCTGGCAAATATATATTTATTTATCAAAGCCAACCACAGGTTTATGCTAAGTGAACTGCATCCAGGCAAACATACAAGGTAGACCTAATGATAACTTTAAAACATTTTAGTGTGTACATGTAAGTTTTAGTCTTTGAAAGTTTAGTTAATGCTAACCAACTAGCTTCATAGATCCTATTTAACTTCTATCTGATGATCCTCTCTACATGCTGACGGAAAATCATTTTCTGTTCTAGGCAGAAGTTTATAATTAACTCATTGATGATGAAAATGTATTCCTTGATATCACCCGAACCGCTGGTCCTCCTGTCTTTTAGTCAGTATATTGAATGCAGTGCGTTCACGTTTTAAAAAAAGTTGCTTGATTCACTCAGTCAACAAAGTGTTCAACCAGTAACAGGTTGCCAACTCTATGCAAGAGCACAAAAATAGCTCCTATTTAGGAAGACAAGCAAACCAAACCCACATATTCTTTCATAGAAGCTCTCGTCTACATCATGTTTGCTTCAATCTCCATGTAAAGATGGAACTGCAAAGAGTTTCAAGGAGGCAGATTTTGCTTTCAGTCATACCAATGGCAGATGAGATATAACCTGGAGCAACCTGGTGTTTTATAACTCGTATGTCTGAAATTTCGTGAGTGCATACAAACTGAAAAAAAACTAAAAATCACCCCGAAATCTGAGGAAATACGGTATTTTATTTGACATAAGATGAAAAAGATCAATGCTATGCGTCTTAAAAGGCTGTTGTACATAAAAAAAAAAAAAAGAAAAAAAAAAGTGTAATCTACACTTTTCATGTTGGTCTAGCTATTTTGAATGTAGCTTGATCCCTAGAGATACAAAGAGAGATTAACAGGAAGATGTAGTTTTCCTCTATGTACCAGTTTGTTTTTATTGCATTTAAAATATATTACCGGTAAAGGAAGCATAAAACACAACTTATTGAGTACTTAAAGAGCATCCTGCTCCAATCTTTCTACTATTCAGAATCCAGAAACCACCACAAAGGTTCAGGGAAACATCAAACCATTTTCTGGGTTAAATCTTTTTTTACTCTGGTAGGGGGTCAGTGCAAATAAATAGCAATAAACTGGCCTTGTTAGTGAGAACACCATTTCTGTTATGTGATGGACAGGCCATTAATAATGAATGGCCACACCAGGCTGAATTGTAAGCAGGTGGAAGATAAGCTCATAGGGTTAAATGTCAGATCAGAAACAAAGCAGCAATCGCCAATACCAAAAAAAAATTAGGACCAAATTAGGAAAAAGCTTGAAAAACTGTATAACCTCTTGAGACGCAATCGAGCAGGGCTAGCTGGTTAGCATGAACTTTCAACTGAAAACATCTGCATAAAGCATTGTCAAAGTGTGGATTTTTCTAACTCTACAGTAACACTGCTTTCACAAAGCATAACACAGCATCCAAGAAGATATTCATCATTTTTCTTTAAATTACCCCACAACCCCCACCCATATATAGCTCAAATCTTCTGTTGCACTTGAGTTAAAAAATTATATCTGAAATAAATTCAAAAAATTATACCTTATACTGTACACAAGGTTACCCAACTACACAGATAACAAAAATGCAAGAGAATTCCAATATTTATACATTTAAGGGTTCCAAGTTGTGTGATACCATTCAGATTCTATTCATATACAGAATCACGTTTTTTATTTTACAACAAATAGTCGTCATCAATAAATAAAAATAGAATGTTGTCATGTAACTCTGGTGTCTAACACTGCTGTCCTGGGAACAACAGAAAGGCTATCTGACAATACAAGGAAAACACCAAACGCCCTTTGAGATACATGTTAAAATGACACTGTACAACTCTTTTGTTCTGACAGGAAAACCTGATTTTTTTTCTGTTATTTTTTTCAATATTCAACCAGTGAACTGACTCATCAATGCAGCTGCCTAACACTTCAGTACAAGTGTGAAATTAAGAGTGATAGATTTATCTGATGATTGCATCAAATAGGATGCAATGAATGTCATAAGACCCTGTAGTACCAGCATGTAATGCTTGGAAAAACTAACCTTATGTAGCCACTTGGATTTGTGTTTAAATAGATTGATACAAACCACTGACAACAATCATTAACAACATGTTTGTTAATAGATTTGTGATTAATCATGATTGTAGAACTTCTTTAGTACCACTGTAGGTACTACAGAGCCCCTAAAG